CGGGCTGAGCAGTGAGGGGCTCCGTGGCGGCATCCCACCTGGAAGGCCGGGAGGGGGCTAGGAACCAAGAAGGGCGCCTCGGTGAAGCGGTGGTGTCGCCTGAGCTAGGCCCACAGGAAGGTCAGACGCGAACAGAGGCCGTACCCCCTAGGGTCACTGGGAGCGTGAGTGTGTGAAAGGGGGCTGTTCACCTCTCCCTGGATGCCAGCTGCTCCCCCTAGGGGGCACTAAGCTTAAGAATTTTTTGAGTCAGTACTAAGCATGCACCTAGTTAGGGTCCTACTTATTAAGTCTTGAAAACTGGAGACAAAGAAAACTAAGGGAAGTACCATAAGCCCCCTTCCTATGCACATTGCACAAGGGCAGGAGGAGAGTGGGGATAGACTTTCGGGTAGCCCCTTTCAGTTGTACTCACACTGAGACAAGCAGGTAGCCAGCTGGGCATACAGGCACACACATGCACCCAGCTTCCAAGGACACCTTTCCTGAAAGGCAAAGGTACCATCTCTTCCTTGCAGGCGCAGGTCTACAGAAATCTAGGGCCTGCTGCTTGTTAACTGTATACTTGATTTCCACTGCTTTCTCTCTCTCACTGGCTGGCCCCAAGGCCAGGCATGAGGAATTAAAGGGGCCAGTCAGCACTGCATCAGGGTGTGTGTGTGTGTGTGTGTGTGTACATGTGCATGGGTGTGCAACAATGTAGAAGGGGTGGGAAGACAGGCTATTTGAGCAATCAGACTCAGCCCTCATTGATTATGTGCGTGCTGGGTGTCACTTAGGAAGCAAAGAGAATGAGACATGGACCCTGCCTGCCCTCAGGAGCTCTCCATCTGGTGGAAGAAATAGACATGTAAACAACTCAGAATGTGCCAAGTGCTTGTAACAGACAGGCCCTAGGAGAGTATCAAAAATTAGTGACAAATGGCTGGGCTTCCAGTGTCTTTCTCACCCCCATCCGCTCCTCTCCTCAGTCACAGGCCTCTGCCCTTTTGGGCTGTCTTGTGTGAACCCATCCTTCCCCATCCTAGAACAGAGGGGAGGCTAGTGTGAACAGTAGGCACACTCCCACAGGGAAAGTAGGAGGAATGAGACTGGCCTGGGTGAAGCTCCTCCTCCAAAGGAAGTATTAGATTGTCTGTGGCAGGTAGGGAGTGGTGGGTGAGCCAAAGGAGAACGGCTTCTCTAGAACCCAGGGTTGAAAATGCCTGCAAGAAGTCAGGGCCCCACCTGTTAAGGGGGGAGATGATGTCATAGGTCATTCCCCACTTTCCTGGGACACCTAAAGAGGTCTGGGCTGGGGACCTACCTTCGCTAATGCCAATTTGTCTGTTCCTTCTTTCCCATCCACACCTCTTGTTTCATTGCCGTCTTTGTGTCTATTTTGGCCTCTTTCCGGATTCCATCCTGTCCATCTGTGTCTTTTTTGCTTCCTGGGCTTCCACTTCCACCTCTTGGGGTATCTCTCTTTGCACTTTCCTGTATTGGCATTCTGGCCACTTTTTCTGTCCTCATGGTTCTGTCTGAGTCAATTCTGTGTTTATCTCTGGTCACTGGCTCCCATCTCTTTGTCTTCCTCTTACATTCCTGTCTCTAACCCTTGTGCCGGCCTCTGTCTCTCAATCTCCGTATCCATCTCTGTGCTGGGTCCTGCCATTCTGTTTCACCTCCTCCTCCCTGCCCATCTAAGCAGCAACGACCCATCCAGCCCTCTTTCACCAAATCTCTCTGCCGTGAGTCCCACTGGAAGTGCCTCCTGCTCTCGCTGCTCATGTATGGCTGCCTGGGGGCAGTGGCTTGGTGCCACGTCACCACAGTGACCCGCCTCACCTTCAGCAGCGCCTACCAGGGCAATAGCCTCATGTACCATGACAGCCCCTGCTCCAACGGCTATGTCTACATTCCCCTGGCCTTCCTGCTCATGCTGTACGCGGTGTACCTGGTGGAGTGTTGGCACTGCCAGGCCCGCCATGAGCTGCAGCACCGGGTGGATGTGAGCAGTGTTCGGGAGCGTGTGGGCCGCATGCAGCAGGCCACCCCCTGCATCTGGTGGAAGGCCATCAGCTATCACTATGTTCGACGAACTCGCCAGGTCACCCGGTACCGCAATGGAGATGCCTACACTACCACCCAGGTGAGCGACTAGAGGTGAGTGCAGGCTGTTCAAGATGAGCGCGGTTGCTTGAATTGCCTGCCCTTCTTCCTGCTTGTGAGGGAGCATGAGGTAGCAGTGAGCCCCCATGGGCACCTGGTAATAACAGCAAACACCAAAAGAGCCAAGCTCTAGGCACTTTCAGATTTTAAACCCTTTATTTAATCCTTACAGCAAACCTACGAAGCAGGTACACCCCCCATTTTAAAAAGGAGCAAATGGGTGCATGCTTAGTGGTTAAAAACAAACAAACCTGTCCAAGGACAAACCGCAAGTGAGGAGATAGGCTGTAAACTCGAGCTGGCTGGCTTCAGGTTGGAGTCTGCTCAGTGCACTTCACGGCTGCAGATGGCCTCACATCTTCAGCGAAGTAATTATTACTGAATACTTATTCACAGCTAAGGAGACCTCAGCTCAGACTTGCCTGAGGTTACTTCTACTTGGCAGTGTTAGACTTAAACCCAGGTCTCTGGATCTCAGCCCAAGATTCTTAGAGGTGGTGGGAGTGCGTGGTACAGTTTTCAGTGCAACCACCACTTACCGTATTAAACCCTTTGGGGCTGGGAGAGGGAGAGGGAGGGGGATGAGATGATGGAGATGATCCCAGGTAAAGTGACTTCCATCCCAGTATTAGGATGGGTAGACAAAAGCCGCGGTGTGCCGGCCTTGCGACTCCAGCCTCCTCCTGCGCGCTGCAGGTCTATCACGAGCGTGTCAACACACACGTGGCAGAGGCCGAGTTCGACTACGCACGCTGTGGCGTCCGGGACGTGTCCAAGGCGCTGGTGGGGCTGGAGGGCGCGCCGGCCACTCGGCTGCGCTTCACCAAGTGTTTCAGTTTCGCCAGCGTGGAAGCGGAGAACGCTTACCTGTGCCAGCGCGCGCGCTTCTTCGCCGAGAACGAGGGCTTGGATGACTACATGGAGGCGCGAGAGGGTATGCATCTCAAGAACGTGGACTTTCGCGAGTTCATGGTGGCCTTCCCCGACCCGACCCGGCCACCCTGGTACGCCTGCTCGTCGGCCTTCTGGGCCGCAGCGCTGCTCACGCTGTCGTGGCCGCTGCGCGTGCTGGCCGAATACCGTACAGCGTACGCGCACTACCACGTGGAGAAGCTCTTTGGCCTGGAGGGGCCGGGCTCAGCCAGCAGCGCGGGTGGTGGCCTGAGTCCCAGCGACGAGCTGCTGCCCCCGCTCACTCATC